GCAAATCTCGACTTTTGCCAAACTTGGATTGCAAGTCCTTGTTGGGGTACTTACGCTTGAACTCCTTAGCCTCCTTGACTGTATTATAGCCCAGGAATCTGAGGAGCGGATAGTATACTGCATTTAAATATAAAACAATCAGAGTTATTCACAACTGTTCGACATACATAGAAGTGTTGATAAAACCAACAGCCATGGAAGATTCATTACCGGGGTCAAACTTGACAGTAGAAACTCCGGGAGACAAACCAACAGCTTCAAGCTTTGAATCTACTACAAGTTTGCGATGATCTCGAACCTCCTTATCTAAGCCGGCGAGTGTGATTAATTTCCCACCGAACTTAGGGCCCAACTTCGGTTCCTTCTGCTTGGTCTCTTTTTCTACAAAGGGCAAAAGTTCCGACCTGTTAGTACACAGAACAAAACGTAATCAGAAAGATATATCCGAATTGAAAAATGAAATAAACTCACTTGCTCCGGAATGAATTAACATCGGAATCGTCATCCCGTCAATCCGAGGTTCATGGAAAAAGCTCTCGGATTGCCACTCTCCCCCAATCCATAACCACTCCTCCTGGAATCCATGGAGAGTTTCTGGGATATCGGTTATTATCTCACAAACTTTTAAACCATGTTGTGGCTTAGCCCCGGCAAAGAAACAGCATGAAGATTCCGCTACATGTCTCTTCGGACTCTTCTTGAATGCAAAGATGCTCCTTATTTCCTCACACGATGGCAACCCCTCACCCTGCTCGTGCAGTAGCACCATTAGACCGATTATCTTCTTCCAACTATTAGGGGTAATTTGACAGCGGTAACCCCCAACTCCGAAGATACTCCGTGATCAAATTCGGCAACAGGAATCTTAATCCCGACCTCAGACTCTCGACGAAAACTCCAACACACCCCGGAGGAGGACTGGTTATTCTTTCCCCCGGATATGGAGCAAAAATTTTCACCGAGGGTGGGATCCGAATCTGCTCTCGAAGCATTACTACATCGGCATCAGTCAAAATGCTCGGCTCGCCTT